ATATATATAAACCTGTATACATGTTTGTTATCCAAGATTGGTAAGTAGGGCTGATACGTTTATTTTTAGTTTAAGTTAAGTTTTTGATATATCCTGCCATCAGATACATGTGTTGTATTTTATATCGATGGTGCTCCACGTCTCACATTTCAGTGAGGGTGTATTATGTCGTCGCCCATGTCCGTGAGTTCGTCGGTTAACAATTGACTAATTAGCGGGACAGAGGCTACAGATTTAATGTGGTGTAAACATTGGGCTCATGTGCGCACGAAACCTATCGATATTTTGCACTCCACAATCTTCCATTTCGGAGTTACGCCTTTTTCCGAATAGAGGCTTCAGTTTTTAACTGATTTTTCACAATACAATTGACAACCCTCTCGACATTCTACGCTCCGTGACCTTACTTTCCAGAGTTACCTCCACTTGGCGAAAACCTTGTTAACGAGAGGTTAGAGATTTAAAGGTTTTTTGTTTTCCAATTTTGTGTGAAACATTTCCGGAATCTCCTCCTTTTCTGAAATCCTTGTTAACGCGGTGGAGTTTTAGACGGATTGTTTTCAAATTTGTCGTGAAAAAGAAGTGTCAAGAGACGACTGTTCCTATCGATTTGCATCGCTCTGAGACCTTTCGTCCCCCCCCCACCCCGTTGCCAAAAATCTTGTTATTGCGATTGTGATAGAGTCTTTAACGAACTTTTTAAAGGATTTTTTTCAAAAGATTTCGTGTGAAGCATTTGGCTTGTGACAGGACATGCCCTATTTCGAGATTCTACGTCCCAACATCCCCCCACCCACAATGGCTATCCTACATCTTATTAATGCTATTAATCATAGTTGTGTAACAGGTCTTGTTCGAGTCAAAAAAAATGTTATGTGTGAGACAAACTCAGATGTGGGTTAAAGCTGTCTGATTCCACTGTGTTTACCTCAAAGACCTTAAATCAAATCCAGTTAAGATAAGCGCTGGTGTTCCACAGGGTTGATATTAAGGTCTATTCAAAATACAAATTTGACAGTAGAAACCACAAATACTATTTAGAGTTAGACAGTTGCAGATAAGCCAATTTCGGTACACGATATGAATATTACTCCCACCTCATTCAATCTGATTAAAATCAAATGTTTTTTGAAGTCGTATAATATTCCATATTTTACTCTTACTTAAGTAAACCCGGTCCATATAGTGGTACAAAAAGCACAAAAAAATATATCCATGTTCTTTTTCTTTCAGTTTTATGGATGGTACAGAATGGAGTTCAGACATTACTGCAGCAAAAAACCCCTAAAAATTGTCTTTTTGGTGATTATTCCCTTGTTTATATTATCGATGCTGGCGTCTTCCAATTGGCAGTTTACAACTCTACTTCCTGCTTCCCATTTAAATCCTCCGAGATGCCGGGTCCTTGACCTTATCTTGTCAGGAACTTGGAAAAGTAGGCCAATGACTTTCAAGCAAAACTCAGAAATGAGGAAATTCCTTGAAGTAGCTAGAAATGAGATACATTTGCCTAGAACTCTACAAAGACGGGATAGGAAATGTGGTGACCTCTACTTTCCCGGAATAGCACCCTGGTTTCGTGCACTTTGTGACCAATATGGGCCCACCCCTTGTTGCGATAACAACAAGTGTGTTGCTAAGGAAGCAGATAAATGTCGTTGTGAAAATTGTTACGATACAAGACAAGTTCTTCACGCTGAATATTCTGATTGGTTACCGTCCGATCAAAGATGTCATATTAAGAAATATAACAAAGATACAGCATGTGAACTATTAACGGGGAAAACTGTTTTCCTAAGTGGCGATTCGTTGATGAGGCATATTTATACGGCATTTTTACTGTTGCTACGCAACAATACAATTGATGGTGCCATGAATCAGAACGTTACAAAAGGTAACGTATTTTGGAAATTTTATCAACTTTATTCCTGACTGACGATCGTATCAATTATTTCTATTTCCAATATTGAACGCTCGTTTCTATCATACAGACTAAACCTATGATGGACACAGTGCTGGCATATCAGGAAGCTGGTCGAATAGTCTAACGCATAAGGTGCCACTTGGTCAAGTGAAGAGATTCGATTGACTGCTTGTACATGACAAAGAATAGGTCCCACCACTGCTAAATTTATTGAAATAAAATTGATCCATATGTTAGTCCCGAAATGACATAGTTAGTATAGAGTGGACGTTAGATCCTTTTGATATGTCGAAGTAGCCCAGGTAACAGTAATAACTAAGGAACAGTCAATAAATAATAATTGTTAATTACATCATTAAATATTGCACCAAATACAAAATAAATAGTACACCATTCAATTTCAATAGGGAACAAACAAATAACTTTTCGGTTAAATATTACCTGTTGACTTGTGATGAATAAATAAGGTTTGGTATTTTAGTCTTCTCACTTGTGATGAATTTTGGCACTGTGGTCTTCTGACATGTGATAAATGACCCAGGTTTGGTTCTTCAGACATGAATGAATACTGTTCTATATTGTAGTATACTGTATTAATGGCTATAGGATAGACATGGTACTGCCTGTTAATGGCCATATTTTGACAATGGTACTGCCGGTTGATGGCTATATCTTGACAATGGTTGCAAATAATATTTACCTGGTTTTGTTATTAAATTTCAGATATGCATGACAAGTGTACTGGTATGTTCATGTTTACAGAAAAAATATGTCGTCTGCAGTTAGACAATACAACAAGTGATCTGTGTGGCGGGAAATTTGAACTTATTTTTAAACATTATTACAAACTTGGATTAAGTGATCGATTTGTTGCCAAGGTATCGGAACTAATGACGAGAAAGAAAGTATTAATAATAGCCGATATCGGCCTACATGCCAATTTAAATCATAGACCAGTTATGGACAAGTATATCGCGCCTGCCCTTAAAGTCATTCAAAAACACAAAGGTGCGCAACTACTTATTGCACCACCACATCGACCGGGTTTACTTAAAAGTTCCTATTATGGACAAGGTAAAATTGGTATTGAACAGTATATCAAACATATGGAGAAAGAATTAAAACCACATAATGTGTCTATATTCAACACTTTTTATATTACACACGGTATAGAGAGCTACGATGGCGTTCACTTTGGCCTGGGTATAAATATGTTAAAAGCGCAACTTTTGTTAAATTATATACAAGAACTTGATGGTAATAATAATTGGTAATGAACATAAACGTTTGAAATCCTTCAACCGGCGGTCATTAGGAGACTGGATATTCATATCCCTAACTCTGAAAATCCATTGGTCCAAAGTGGTGACTCTCAGTTGTCAAGTGAAGAGGTACTTTGAGGATCCGCCGACAATTTGGTTTTATGGACTCGAATCATGTTTTAAGCCCGGTCCTCTCTTATCATGGTTAACATCTACGGGAACGTAAAACTATATGGCGTATTCAAATTTGTTGTTGGAATAGTAGGAAGAGTTGATCACAGACTGTTGACGTCTTGACGAGACGTTAAACATTCAATTTCATTTCGGTTTTTTTTTTTAGGATTCTGCCCCTTACAGTTTGTCTCCGCATTTAAGGCGTCATTGAATAAAGACGAAACACGTATTCAAAGAAGACAGAGCAATGTTATTTTCGCCCACGGCCATGTTGTTAACGTGGTCGTATATTTTGGTCGCCCCTGTCTGTCGTACTGTCCCTCACTTGACTAGGAATAGGCTAATGAAGAATCTTTTGGAAATAAATCTCCCTGGCAATTGCTGCCCGTGTCATCGAAACTATGTAATAACTCTCCTGTGATTATTACCAAAAATTAACATTGGGTGTTTTGTATTTGTTGGGAGGGGCTCCGAATATGTAATTCTTACAGCCATAAAGACAGGAAAAAAATGAAATGAAATGGGGTTTCTGCTCCAACTCTGCTAATAGAGAGGGGCATAGGCCATGAATTTTCTCGGCCAACGAAAGGGTCGAACACGGGATTCCCAGGTTAGCAAATCAACCTCTTACTCACTGAGCCGCCGTGGCTCGACCAAGAGACAGGAGGCGCCCAAAATGTAATCAACATTATTCTTGCAGTTAAAAACATTTTTGTCTTGACAGTTCACAAATTCAATTATTATAAAGGTCGTTATTTGAATGACAGGAAATGACTTATTATAAAAGATTAAAGACAAAAATTAAGGCTTAAAACCATGAACAGTTACATTGATTCCGAAATGAAGGCCTATTATGAAAGATTGGTCACGATAAATCAATCATAATTATTTTTAAAGAATAAAAGTTTTACTTTCAAATTACATTTAGTCTCTCTGTGATCAATAATTGAATTCTACTACAGTCCGGATTAGCCAATGTGGCTCCTTAAAGTCCCGATGCGTCATTTGCATTGTCGCTAAAATATCAAATTTCTCACGGCTTATGAGTACACATTAAATATTATGTACTCGGGTTGGTTATTTAACATTTAATTAAGAAAACAAAATCAAAATACTAACGCTAGATACTTTTTCGACTTGGATTCAATCGGATTTAAACTACATGTAGTTCCGTCAGATTTTTCCGTTACAATACCAAGATGACGGCGTCCCGTTAAGCTCGAGCAGCATATAGTTTACGTAAGCTGATTTAATAAAAAGTCAGCTGAGCGCAGGCACTGAACAAAGAAGTTACAGTATGCAGGGGTGTAGGGGGCGTTACTGAAACTTTTTCCCTTGGGTGCCACATAGGCTTGTGAGGGCCCTGGCGACGTCTGTTGGGAATTCCTTCAGGGAGGACGCACAGTTACATGTACTTACCGCAATGAAAGATAATTTCAGAATCATCGCACAGTATAGGGATCGGTCAGTGAGCCATTAGTTTTGAGTTACCTAAATATAGGCCTATATATATGTGTCACGAAAACATATCAGAGATCAGGATGAGGTTAAGATATTTCAGTATAGTAAGCGTGTGTACAGCGAGCCTTGTTATCTAATTCAACAGACTTATATATCAGTCAAGCAATGCTCGACGTGTATCAACCTTAATCTACGTAGAAGTGGATGAAAAGCAACAATTCTGTACTAGATGGGGTGCTTACATACCCAATGAACAAGTATAGGATTTACGCTAATTAATTATTTCAAGTTCGTCGTGAAACAGTATTGATTTGATTTCACAAATATAACTTTTATATATTATCACCCACGCTTAAATTAATTTTATGTCCTCAATAAAGTTGGTTGGAAGTTAAAATGGCAGATAGCACACAGCGGGGAAATTGGTCCAATTGGTGTGAGTTTTTGCTGTCATGTGTAGGATGTATGGTGGGAATCGGCAATATTTGGAGATTTCCTTTTGTCTGCTACAGATCCGGCGGAGGTAAGTGTACATGTTGAATTTCTCTGTTAATCGGACATTGTTACAACAAATTATCGCCATGATGGGCTACAAATATCCGTTTGCAATGGGAGGGAACCTGAGAACCGGAATAAAAAACACGATAACTGAGTGACAACCCTTTCTTGCCACGTTCAATTGGCATTATTTGAGTACATTGTAGATATGGTAAAAAAATGTAAATATCGACCAATTAGTAGAGCGCTATAGACTCAGATAGTAATCACTTTAAATACGACATGATTTTAATAGAAGAAAACAAAAAACAGAAATACGACAAAAATGAAATGAAATGAGATTACAGTTCTCCGCCGACTGGGATAATGAAGACGGACATATGCAATGCAGTGTGCTATGAGGATAATTTTTCCTTGACATCGGCATTACAGCCTACTCTTATAGCGAATTCCAACTGTCAAGGGTTCTTTTACGTGCATGCCAATGTGTACCGAGAACCCCGGTTTTTGGTCCAATCTGAACGACTATACTTTGTCCCATGCCCTTTTATAGCATCCATATATTATCAAATATCAAATGGAAATTGTAAAACATGATTGACAGATAATATCGATACATAAAATATACGAAGTTGGCTAATTTAGTAAAAAACATCGCCAATTTTTAGCTTAGAGACGTCATATTCATATTAGATGATGTCACTAACAATTAATAAACATTGATTAAGGGTGCGGGGGTACCTGGAATTCTTCTCAAGTTTGAAATGAGTAGCTGGCATTCTCTTTCTTTCGTCAGTATATCGAAAAATACATGGACCTTCTCTTTAAAACAGTACCAAAGGGGTTAATTCCCTAACGTTTGATAAACTATTCACAGGGATTATCTGTGAAAGTCCTGATATAATCTGATATTAACACTTAGCCATAAATTCTTCTATATTCAAAATTAATTACTCTAAAATTGATTAAGGTATAGGTATCGGATTTTGCATTACTCTGGCAAGTAATAGGTCTGAATTGAGCTATTAGAGCAAATTTGCTGGGCGATGGTATGCACAATCAGTTGGAACAGGCATATTTAAACGACATCGGACATTGTATTAAAGATGTATGGAAGAATTTAGTAAATAGCTGACCGTTTTTGCTATAATAATTCAGAAATAGATAATGAAAAAAAATGAATATATTGAAATTTCAGTCAAATTACTTTATTCTATTTGAAGTTTTGACAAAATGTAGCGTATATTGTTTATTTTCGCAGAAACGGTACTTTACAATCGAGAATTTATTTTATCGTTAAACTCTTCTATAGCAGTGGTGCTCTAATCTACTAAAAATCGGAGCCATCTGATCTGCCAGAGAGTGGATTGTGGGCTTATCATGTTAATAAACGCTTGAATAATAATTTATACAATATGTGAAGCCAGAAAAAAGGCATGCAATAGACAGGGTTAGCTCTTCTTGAAACTGACCAGAAGTTGACGTTTGTCTATCTCTAAGCTCACAGAACGGCATAGCAAAGATAAACTTCTGTAATTAGTATGAGGTAGGTATATGATAATAAAGGGAGATTGTTCTGAATGTTTTTATTCATGGTCACAAACTTACGTACGACCTTCGAACGCAAAGCGATATTAGGGCAACATATGAGTTGTCACGGGATTTATTTTACTCTGGATTAGTTTATAAATATTATTTTTACAGTATTGTTCCAAGGCAAAATACACGTATACTTTTATTTGCCTGGATTTTAGTTTTGAAATTTAGGCCTATTTCCACTCGGACCCGGGCTTATTCCTTGAAGAAGGAAATCTACAAAGACGCATTCCCACGAAAGTATTTATTGGGTAGTTACTTCCAATAAAAGTGTGTCAAATTTGGTATGTGGAAAGTAGAGACACCCATTCTTACTAGATAAATACTGGAATCGCCGATAACTTCAAACGAGGCGCACACAAGACAAAACTGCAAGCCCCCCCCCCCCACCCCACCCCAGTCTGACTGCTGGTGTAGGGACTTAATTGGTGGCGCTTGGTTTTGTTGATCTAATTGCGAGCTAAGTAAGAATTTACTTAGGCATGGATATCTATGGTAAATTGAGAGCAAGTAACGATAGATACAAGCCAAAAATCGACCCTCCTCTCAACCAAGTCACATGACAAACAAGGCTGTTTAGAATAATCAAACTTTTAATTGATAACTTAGTTTTGAGGTAATATGAATTTTTTCATCACCATTTTGTTGGTATGTTGACATTAAAGGTATTTACAAAAATGAGTATAAAAAGCTGCTAAGCCCAAAGAACCAAGAACATTCACGTGTTAAAATTTTTTTATAGTTTAAACATATTTTATTGCAAATAATTTACACAGTGGTTAGGACAATTTATAGAAATTATGAACCTTCTCCCAGTGAATGTAATGTAATGTAATGTAATATAAAACGTTCAAACGTGTCACATCCCACTCCCAACTCCACTATAACCCTTTAATAATTAGCTAAACGGCAAATAGAGAAATATTTACGTAAATTCTGTGACTTTTTTCATAGGTCACGGCATAAAATTTACAGAAAATACGCCATCTATAACTTACCCTACCATCAGAGTGATCTTGACAAATATGGAATAACTGTGCCTGTCGATTTCCTTTTTCAGCTGCCTTTCTCATACCATATTTCCTGGCCATGGCGATTTGTGGTTTACCGTTAGTCTTTCTAGAGATGAGCTACTGTCAGTTCTCTAATCTTGGTCCCGGCAAAGTCTGGGTTATCTGTCCTTTGTTCAAAGGTAAATTGACGTTTTTCTCTTTTATTAAGGATAATTTGCGCAATTGACAATCCATCCCAGTTAATCTCTTGACAATATCTTTCTATGAACTTCAAAACACTACCCAAATCCTGAGGATTTTTTCAAGTCACTGTGTCGTTTGTTGCATAGTTGTTTGGATTGTGTCACACTCCCATGACCACCACTGTGTGTACCCAAAAGAAAATTATCTTCCTTATACCGTTGCAAATGTGCCAAGTTGTATAAACTCTTGTAAAATTCTTTCCAGATTCCGCCCACTACCTTTTGCGCAAATTTAAATTTTTGAGTGGGATTTATTAGGGATAGTAAATAAAATGAAATGTTATTTTACGTTCTACTTTTCTGCAACTACTATGACTCCCCAATAGCAATATAGGGCAAGGTTTATACAAGTACATGTTCTAGTCGAAAGATTAAGCGGAACTCGGCTGTCACCATAAAGCCAACCCAGACATAAAACCGGTAGAATTGACAATTTTATGTTTGACCTGAATTAAAGAGTTCTTATCAATATAAATGCTAAGGGAGTTAACCATCTGCATACGTTTAAATATTTTACCAAAACAGCCGCTTAGAATATCATCTCATTGATCCACATCAATATTTAAATATCTGTTCATGCATTTGTTATTGTAGGTATAGGTGTCGGTATGATAGTTTTAACAGCTGTTATTAGTTGTTATTATAACGTCGTACTATCATGGACTCTCTACTACCTATCCATGTCATTTAGTCAGACTCTTCCCTGGAGCACCTGTGATCAAATCTGGAACACACCCAATTGTATTGATGCTTTTGGGACCCGACCATTAACCAATAATAGCATCAATTCAACATTGTTGGTGTATAATCTTTCCAGTGGTAATATGAATGGATTTGTCCAAGAATTTACATCAAATTTAACGACCTCCGCCACTGAAGAATATTGGAAGTACCATGTATTACAAGAAAGTACTGGTCTAGAAACTATGGGTTCCATACGATGGCCGCTTGTTGGTTCTTTATTTGCTGCATGGGTGTGTGCCTTTCTGTGTTTAATAAAGGGAATTAAATCATCAGGCAAGGTTGGTAGCCTTCTATCGTATCATGAATTCAAATCGATTGTATATAATAGCCATACATAAAACTCATCACAAAAATGTGTGGACACTCTAAAGGTCACAATTATTTTGTTCTGATTTTGACGAAACTTGAAATATGTGTTTTTCTCCCAAAGATCTCGTTTCATTTCGATATTTGCGCATATCGGACCGTAACTTCCTGGATTGTGGCCCCTAAATGCAAGAAAAATCACGTTATTAGCTTTTGACCGCTCTAGTGGTCCCAATTTTGACCCGATTTTGATGAAACTTGAAGTGTATGTTTATAACCCAAAGATCTCGAGATCTTTCGACAGTAACCTGGTGGAATGGACCCTGATTGTATGACAAATCGCGTTTTTAACGTGTGGTCTTATTTTTTAAATCCAATTTAAACAATCGTTCGAAACTATCACCGTTACACCATAATGACAGTCGAGTTCGAATTTCGTGTGCACAAATAGCGTTAAAATATGAAATATCACGGTTGTGGACACTCTCAAGGTCACACTTTTTATCCGATTTTGATGAAACTTAAAACATATGTTCATATCCGAAAGATATCGGTTCCTTTCAATATTCTCGCATATCAGACCGTAACCTCCTGGATGATGGTCCCTGATTGTATAAAAAAAATAAAAGATCTCAGTCCGTTTCGATGTTCACGGATTGCAGATCTTAACTTTCTGGATTATTTAATTACAAACTAGGTTACTTCGGGACTAACATATGGTGTCTCTGTATTTCAATGATTAATATGCACGTTGAGGTCTTTATCAGTGGCAGGACAACGCGGGACCCTACTTCTTGTAAGCAAATTCAATGCTTTATTGTGACCTAAAATCCAAGAGGTTTACTCCTACAAGTATCGCGTCATTGACAGAATGTGCATAATTAAATAAAAAAGAGGAAACAAACATCTATACGTTAGAGACTTGACTTCACTGTAACCGTCAAATGTTAATGGAGCTTATTAAGTTTATGCTTACATTAATCGGAATTTTAAGCAGTTACTGTCAGTAACGAGAGTCAACATTACAATACTCTTAATTTCTAACATCTAATACTTCTTTGTCATGGTTAGACCAGGCACTTATTGTTATGGTTAGACCAGACACTTATTGTTATGGTTAGACCAGACACTTTGTTATGGTTAGACCAGACACTTTGTCATGGTTAGACCAGATACCTTGTCTTGACATGGTTAGACCAGATACTTTGTCATATTTATACCCGAAAATTTGCCATGATTAGCCCGGTAATTTGCCATGGTAAAAGCAGATACTTAATTTGTCAAGCAGATTATTGATTATGGTTAGACCAGTCACACTGGCACATACATACTTTTGCTCTATATTTACTGTCTTTGAATGTGAATGTCGTTTGAGATAGATGGTAGTGTATTTTATTTGTAGTAAAGCATGTGTTTCGAAGTGTCATCGATTACTACGATCATGATCTCTGTTCGATAGGATTCACTAAAATAAAGTCTTAATTAGCATCATACCTTGCTGTGTAGGAAGTGTCTTAAGAAAGGAAAAAATAATTAACTAAACTGTTTGCTTGTCGTCAATTGCATAATATAATTAACAAACTCCTTTATTCTGAACATAGCCAATTGTAATTGGCCATTGTTAAGCAAATGCCGCAAAGGCCACGTACAATCAAAGGGTCTACATAATTAGTATAACGGTTTGGGATCTAGTAACTGTTTGGATGCAGAAAGCTCTTGGAATAATGTTCAGTTGGCAGTTACTTTTAAGTATCTGCAATACCATGGTACACAAATAAAAATATGAAATAAGAATTCAAAATAAAAACAGTGCTGGGATATTTAACGTTGTTAAACATAACGACTGTTTGCAAGGTAGTGATAAATTTAAGGAACCGTCTCATGTAAATTTCAGACCCACCGGTAATAAAAGTCTGCCATTGCAGTGGTCGAACAATTCAGCTAATCAATAATCTGGGAGACTGAAAAAAGTCAGGTTTCTAGTCATATGATGTCTTGTATTATGTAGTTCGTGGATTTATAAATCATATAATTTATTCTAATTAAAAGGTAGTCTATGTAGCTGCAACACTACCGTATTTTATTTTGCTGGCCTTGTTGATACGTGGGTGTTTATTACCAGGGGCTGTGGAAGGAGTTAAATATTATGTTATCCCGCGTTGGGAAAAACTCCTAGAGTCAAAGGTAAGATGTGTGTACACTAATTAAACTTGGTCCCATTCTATCATTATACACACCACCCTTACTTAATTCATTCTACACTATTGCACTATTAGAATTTGAATTCAGTCTACCATAGGAATAATGCAATCTACCAAGGAGTAATGCAATCTAACGTTGATACATATTTAGTGCTATACACAGACTTAGTGTAAACTAATATATACCAAGTTGAAATTACTGAAGCACTTTAACATAAACATAGTCTATTATACATGTAAAATAGGCTTAATTAATTCTAAGATTGGCGTAGTTAAATATACATTGTCCCATCTATTCATACTTAGACTCAAATCTGACATAGTTCGGTGTAATATAGATATAATCTGATTTAGCATAGATCTAGTTCAATCTAACATACATAATATACACTTAGTCCAGTCTAGACCGAGTGATACCAGGTAAATATGGCCGGTCTCGCAAACGAAACCCTCCATTACCGTCTTGTTAAATGAAATCATGAGAATGATCAAACTGAAACATTCGGTTAGCCAGTATAAAGCTGTTTAAATAGCTAATATTAATTAGGATGTATTTATCTTCAGGTATGGCAGGATGCAGCAGTACAGGTATTTTATTCTGCAGGTATTGGATGGGGTGGAATATCAACTTTAGCTAGTTATAATAAATTCAACAATAACTGTTACAGGTAAGAGGCGATTAGAACATACGAAGTGTAAAACCTAATGCAACCATGTTCTCTTATTCAGAGCATGTTTTAATAAATGTCAGAGTTAATGGGTTTTATGTTCAACATAATGGTAGCAATATTAAGATTAGAAGATTGCTATTGAAATATTTTGGTAAGAAATAGATTTTTGGATACTTTGTGTCAATCGATGGTTATGTATTTGGTATCTCGATTACCATGGAAAAATATTCTCATGTCTAACATGCACTCTATAGGATGATGTTTGTTACAACAATATCATTGTAGTCTCGGTACTGTATAAATAATACATGATTGTGTAGGAATCGGATCATTGCCAATAGTTTTTAACAATTTCGATCTATTTATCAGAAATGACATGACTTTAACATTGTTGATCTATGTCATGGTTTTACCCATACTGTTTTATGTTTCCGAGATGCAATGATTTACCCGTGTTGTTCTGTGTTTCAGATATGTCATTTTATTTACCAGTGTTGATTTGTTTCAGAGATTCCATGATGTTACCCGCTTCTGTGTTTCAGAGATGCAATGATTATTCCCGTTTTGTTCTGTGTATCAGAAATGCCATGATATTGCCTGTGTTGTTCTGTGTTTCAGAGATGTCATGATATTGCCCGTGTTGTTCTGTGTTTCAGAGATGTCATGATATTGCCCGTGTGTTTCTGTGTTTCAAAGATATCTTGATATTGCCCATGTTGTTCTGGTTTTCAGAGATGCCATGATTTTACCCGTGTTGGATTGTTTAACCAGTTGGTTTGCTGGGTTTGTTATATTTGTATATTTGGGTTATATGGCACATATAGAAAACAAAAGTATAGATGATGTCGTCACAAGTGGTGGGTATAACGTGGAATTGTTTTGTAACATAACAAGTTATCGACCGAACATAACCTTCGGGATTTTTCAGACAGGTTTTCTATTTGCCAGAGGCTGTCTCTTGGAAGAAAGATGTACCAAGTCATTCGAATGGGCTGGAAAACTAGGTCTACCCGTATATAGATTGGGGCGCACGGACACGAACCCTTCACAGATGGGAATCCGAGAAGAGTAGGTCGAAATGCAACTGCTTCCGAACCATAGAGATAAAAACTACCGTATGACTAAATCTGGTTTGTCGAAAGCCCGCAGTCTTCTGGGCTATATCCCCGAATTGACAATTCATAGAGAAATGAGTGCTATGGACATTTTGGCCGGTTCCCCCAAAAAACAATTGCAGATTGTGTTCAAAATCGAAGACAAATATGTCAATCGGTCTCTGATTTATGGACGTTTAAGATTAGCTGCGATTTGTACATTCTGTACAAACTTAATGTATTATAAACTGTGATATTATAGGTCCAGGGTTGACTTTTGTAACATACCCACATGCTGTAGCTACGATGCCCTTAGCCCAGTTGTGGTCTGTATTGTTTTTTGTGATGCTCTTTTTGGTTGGCATGGACAGCCAGGTAAGCACATTAACCATACATTTTTGTTGATATAAATTCATAGTCGTAGATAGCTTTGTACACTTAACAACATTACATCATGATATTTGCTGTATGTACACTTTGGGACAATTCGGTAAAGCTACCCGTACATAACCGTTTTAATTTTAATTTTCGTACGATATTTAAGAGGGTTTGCAAATTACGGTTCTTCACAATTAACTACAATTATTTTCTCTTGAAATTGATGTTTGTTATGACTATTATTTATTTATACATGTACTATGTTATATGATTGTATTGCTAAATGTAATAATCACGTGGTAGCAAACTATCGTTAGATTTTATACGCTAATCTGTGGATCGTCTAATGTCCTATTCTTATCTTCTAAATAATAACCAGGCTTCTGAAATCTGAACTATCACTCCCTTAATTAACACACTTGGTAACACGTGTCATTTAGCACCCTTGATGCCACGTGTCATTTAGCACTCTTGATGTCACGCATCATTTAACACCCCTGGGTGTCCGTGTCATTTAGCACCCTTGATGCCACGGATTATTTTAGCACACCTGGCACAACATGTCATTTAGCACTTTTGATGTCACGTGTCATTTAGCACTCTTGATGTCACGTATCATTTAGCACCCCTGGTACGCCGTGTCATTCAGCACCCTTGATGCCACATATCATTTTAGCACCCCTGGCACAACATATGTCATTTCGCACCCTTAATGTCACGTGTCATTAAGGACCATTGATACTACGTGTCATTTAGCACATTTGGTATCACGTAGTAATTAGTACCCTAGATATCACGCATCATTTAGCGCCCTTGATACCATGTCTCATTTAGCACACTTGGTACCACGAAGCATTTATCACCCCTGATATCAAGAACCATTTAGCGCACTTGGTATCACATAGCATTTAGCATACTCGGTGCCACGTATCAGACATAGCATAGCTTGCACTCCGGAACTGGTCAAAATTTATACTCGGGAAAACCGTTGCCTGAGCACGAGGCAGGGTAATGCTTACTTTTATCATTCACTGTCATTCACTTTGAAAGATTTGGATTCACATACAGACAATAAATAACTGGTATGGTTTAATTTATTTTGTAGTTTGTTCACATACAGACAATAATAACTGGTATATCAGATGCATCACCAACTATCGGTAAAAATAGTAAATACAAAATGGTTTTAACAGCCGGATTATGCTGTGTCGGATTCCTTTTTGGTCTCCCTTTTGTTACTCAGGTATTTAATTGGGACAAATGAACCTAACTAGTAATAATAATAATAATGGTTGCATTTATTCATTTATTAGTATTTCCCGGTCTCTGCGGGATTCATGTGGAAGCCTGAATTACCACCACCGCCACCGCCATCCTCGCCCCTCATTTAGCTGCATATTACAGGGATACTCCATTGAAGGTTCCCGAATTGAATTAGCTCAATGCCTCGAAAACTGTCAATATGGTAAACGTGAAAATTACGGCTTACGAGGCATATACGCCAACAGAATATTATATTTTCAAGACCGATCATTATTGCTGAATCGGTTAATGAAGTCAGAATTCTGTTCAAACGAAATCTGTTTTCGGGACTGGTAGAACTGTGCGAATCGATTGTTGCAATTCCACTAATTGGGTATGTTCTGAACCGACAATCGAGCACCCCACCAAAATGTCTAAAAGAGCTCCGAATTATGATGCCCATCGAGTCTGACAGTTTATTTCAGTAATTGCATAATATAACATTTGAGAAAACAGGAATACAGACCCGTCATGTCTTATCCAAGCACACTAACTCTGGATATCCGTTTGTTCATAAATCCTACCCACTCACCTAACATAAACGGAAGTGTCACCTGTTGTTCATGTAAAGGTAAACATGATTCACCAGTGACATAGTGATAAATGTAACGTCAAGTATTTCGTTAGATATAGTTGTTCAAATAAATATAGGTTTAAACTATCAGCAGTGTTAGTGCGCTGAATTAGATTACCATTGAATACTATATTTAATGTTCATACAGATGCATAATCTGTATTTTGATATATTTTAGGGTGGTATACATCTATTAAATTTAATAGATAATTATATAGCATCTATATCTGTAATGCTATTAGCATGTTTTGAAGTACTCGTTCTCAGTTGGTGCTACGGTGAGTATAGACCAGAATAGAATTTCCCACGGTATTACAATACCATTCTATTAATAGGTAATTAATGTAATAGTAAGTCAATAGACAGATCCCTGTGACAAGAGATTGTGTCCACACAATCAGAAGACGAAAATTAATAGTAAGTGCAGGAGGACAGCACTGCACAGGAACCTCCCGATAAGACAAACATGCGGACAAGATAATCTACACAGACATTGCAAGAAATAAACAATAAATATCAAATCAAGTTAGCGTATGTTAGTTGACGTCGTAAGTCAGAACGTTGGTGAAAGATGACGGTTTTGCGCATTAAATAATGTATTAAGACGGTTACTGAATAGTACGCCTATATCAGCATGTACCACCATGCCAGGGTGACGCACTTCCCTAAACTGCGCGGCAAAGAAAGACCTATTCTAGAATACTAATTGTAATTTACAGGAGTTGACAGACTTTATGGAGATATATCAATTATGATTGGATACAGACCTACTATCATATGGAAACCATTATGGATGATAATATCACCTGCATTTATTATGGTATAATATTACAAAATAAACTTTTTTTATAATGATGCTAGCGGTTGACTCGGCGTAGCACTGGTATAGCCATGAACCGGAAGTAGCATAACTATGGAACCGGAAGTGGTTGTCCATCGCAACCAGGCCACGGTGGCTCAGTGAGAAAGACGTTGGAAGTCCCGTGTTCTACCCCTGCGTTGGCCGAGAAAGTTAATCGGTATTTCCGGCATGGTTCCTCCTTGTCAGTGGCGAGGGACAACGTATAGCCGTTCGGATGGGACGAAAAACTGAGTAGACTGTAGCGCCGCTGTCAGGGCAACGTGTCGCACATTAAACAATGTATGGCGTTTCCCCTTTTTAATTAGCCCAGTTGGGGCAAAACAGCAGGACGTTAAACCTCCATTTCATTTCATTTACTATGTTTACTGAAGTATTTATGATATTTTGCAGTCTATATTTTATGGTAGTTAAATTTCTGTTGATTTCTTGTGTTTTGTAGCCTGTTTAATTATTATTATTATTGTAGGACGTATGGTGTTTTCAGGCATGTGTGTTATTATCACTACATGTCTTATATGTTGCAGCATGTGTTCTATTACTGCTATAGTTTTATAGTGTTTTGTAGCCGTTGTGTTCTGATTACTATAGTCTTGTTTTGTTTTTTTTTGTTTTTATTATACTATAGGTTTTGTGATGTGATGTTTTGAAGGCTTTGTGTTCTTATTACTTTTGCCTGGTTTTGATTTATTATTAATATAAGTTTTATAGTGATATATAGCCTTTGTGTTCTTATTACTACAGTCCTGTTTTGATTTACTATTACCATAGGTTTTATGGTGTTTTGGTATTGCTGATTTATACAAGAAGGTTTTGGAGAGTAATACTGCTAGCTGGATAGTTATTATAGGTGTTGTAATTGGTGTACTACCATTACTACCGGTACCTACATTTGCTATCAACACCCTTAACAATATGAGAGGAAAATCGATAAAATTGGTATGCTATATTTAATACGTCCTTAAATCCCAAGGAGGAACAAACCTCGAATTGTTCAAACGTTCAACTGTAAGGCTGGTATTTTAGTCCAATTTTTTAAAGCCATAACATAGGTTTGTTAAATTACATAAGTCCTTCTTAAATCTCAAGGAAACAAATCCTTATCTACTAAGAACAAACTTCGAATTGATAAAAATGGTTAAAACCCTTTAAACACTGATGCTTTAATCTAAATGTTTAAGGCCTTGAGAGGTTTGGTATAGCTTATGTTACCGTCTCGCCGAATTGGTGAATTAAGTGATTGTAATATGTCTTTCAGAAATTGCTAAGTTCCATCAAGCCTTCCATAAATTGGAAATCTGTGGCAGAAAGTTGTGATACTACAAAGGAGGAAGGGGAGCTGCTGCATGTGCCTCTCAAAGATATTAACTGAAAATCAAAATCAAATACAGATGCTATACACGCCTACCTCGCGGGGAAGTGGAGACGCCAATAACGCAGATATTTCATTAATAATTAATCAGTATAAAAGAAACATGCATGTTTACACTTATTGATTGTTATCAAATATTATGAATTTTTATAAAATAAATATGCACAAAATTTTTATTCAGACCAATTAATCGTCACTCCAAAAATGCGCGTCTTGTAATTGCGATCAATGAACAGATATCATGCAAGGGGTATACATCACGGGATGTGAGGATCCTCCTCAACAAGAGGAACAAATTGCTAAAGCTGTGTTTTACCAAGTAATAGTTCTCTTGTGTATATTTCGCTTCCTGCAGTCTGCTGTCTAGCATGTTAACCGTTAACCAATAGCGCCGTTCAACCTAACGAGGAATATGTTAACGGTTAACCAGTCGTAGTTGACACGAGGCTGATGTAAACTTTTAACCAATCGTAGTGTGACACAGCAGCTTCGGTCAACTGAACGAGGCTTACGCTAACCGTTAACCAATCGTAGTTTGTTACAGAAACGTCATTCAATCCAGCGATGCTTATGTTAACCGTTAACTAACCGTAATTGGACAGAAAAACGACGTTCAATCCAGTGAATCTTATGTTTATTAACGTTCAGCCAACTAGCCCAGCGAACCTTATGTTGATGTTAGTAGATAAATTTTGAAGGTACAGATATGCCGAGGCTGACTATTTTATCTTTTTTATTCGTTCATATTTATATAAGGGGGGGGGGGGGTAATAAATTAAGGGAACCCCTTCTCAATTAGTCCATAATTACTGATATGGGTGTGAAATAAGGCTTACTATGTCCCTGTCTGTTTATTGATAAAACAATTCCATTGTTTTAGCCAACAGGGTAGTGATATGAGGTTATTACCATGGAACAACAGTCGTGAATCATTGTAATACCGCACTCGGCAAACCTCAGCAGATTCCAGTACCCTACATCTAGCCCCGGCTGTATGACGAAGTCCGCCATTGGAACTACTTTCAAGTTCCCGGATGACCAACGGCGTTGCCCATGACGACGCCTTTGAAGAATGTTTTATCATACAAATATTTCAAAGTCTAAAGCTGTTTTACTTTCAAGTTTATCCGATTTTCTTCAAACAAGGACAACTTTGCACTGAAAATGCTACCCACTCTGCGAACGACGCAATTTTGAGAACTTGGTTTTAGAAGTGGCAAGTTTAACTAATAAGTAAACCGCAATTGTATAGGCGTAGGTACATATCACTTACAGTCATACTAGATGTAAAGTAACGGAATCTGGCAAGGTTTGCCGAGTGTGTAATACCGCTGACTACAGACGACACCATATGTTTTGAAGCAAAACCCGTATGGATTGTAAGTTTAACAATACCGGCGGCTACTGCAAATGCTTTTCTAGAAACAAATTGTAAAAAAGTATTTCAGGTAACATTTATAAAAATCACCGCGTAGAGAATCTCGCCGCTGTCAACTCCGAGAATTCCAGGAAGATATTAGAATCATAGGTATGGTTAGTTAAATGTAAATAGTTGTTGAATAACCCCTAACAGAATACTGAATGTTCATATAAACAGTGAATAATAATAATATATTTGTCCTGTACGCTCCCCGATTCCAAATTACTCACAACACTTCAACTGCATATATCATCTCCATTGGAATTTGGCCATCAAGACAGTGATTCAAGAGTTACCATTAAAAGTTAGAATGTCATTTAATGACAAAGTTGTATGACATTTTATTTTATGAAGCAATTCCAATGATAGTTATCACGTGAACTCGGACATGGTTTGGTGACAACGAACGATTGGTTGGAAGGATCTAATACCACACAGAACATAATTAGTGTGCGCAATTCTTCAAACAACAAGCATGGCAAGTTACCTGAATGACTTCGATATCATTCTAATTTCCAGAACTGCAAGTAAAGGTTGGAAGAACTTTTCTTCAGTTGACATCCCACAATACTTTTCACAATATATTCATAGCGCCATATTGAACCATTTTTAAAACAATGATACCCATTTTGTTTTTTGCTTTGTTACATTTTGAAAATAAACCTTACAGATATCGGCACCATAATGTACATTTTTAAATCATTATGTCTTTTCAAACAAACTAGATATCTCCTGGATATTGACTACTTGCGTCAAATACACGTGTGTGTGAAATTATACACGTATATGCATAACATCAACGATAAATCTGTGGTTGATGCAATTCATTATTTATACGTTTGGATCATGACTTAACTTTTAAATTTTTTAATAACCAGAAACCTTTTATGAGGGGTGCTTTGCGTTTCACTGGTGACCTCTTACCAAGATAAATCTAAAAATATAAGATAGATTTATACATAAAATGGACCCGTGGTGTATAGGCGTACGAGCTCGATGAATGTTTGAATATTTATTTGCCGCAAACGCGTTTTCCTGCTATTCCAGCCGGTGAACATAGCAACTTCAATGTTATCCAATATAGCCTACTTTGGGTGACTTACCTAAATCTTAAATCCCAAACAACCAATCAATCGTCGCGGCGTATGGAGGTCTCGCGCTCCCTGAGAAAATTTTGAAAATTTAACCGCCGCAAATGCGTTTTTCTGCTATTTTAGCCCGTGAATTAAACAACTTCAAATTTTCCAATTGCTTTGCAACCGAAATCGGATTCTATGCCTATTTGAATTCCAACCACCCAATCAGACTATTGCAGTTGTATTCACAAATATAATCGATGCCCGAAAACTGTCGCACAAGGAGAGTGTCTACAGGCAAAATGATTTAATCAATAGTCAATTCAGTCCAAATTCGTGGTATTCAATTAAAAGAAAGGTAAAATTAGTGTGTTATTAGATTTCTAATATTTTATTTTGCCAATAAGTTTTGTTCCCACTTTAACCGTCTGCCCGAAATGTCAGTCTGTGCTTATGCCGAGATAGATAGAGTGGTAGTAAAGTAACCCTGATTATCCAGACGTTTTGCTGAACATTCTTTTACATCGTTCACTGAGCTGTATCTTACACATATCCCTTTATCAAAACTAGGCCAGTTAAACAAACTGCGGCGATAGAGTGGTTTAGAAATATATCTATTCCCAATCTTTTGGCTAAATCGCATTGTAAAGAAGCGCAGTGTGTCATAATTCATCAGTAGTAAGTTAGGAGTAAATCGTGAGACTCTGGTTGTGTGACAGCATCTGAGCCAGACAGACATTGGTTATGTGATTTATTTTAAACAGAGTATCGTAGAGTGAACCAATTGATCAATTTAAATCACGAGCAAGGTCAAACTGTTTGACAAACAAACGTTTCTTCTTTCAAAATGTTTAAAGGGATCTATCGCATGGTCAGTAACATAGCAAGAGTGAATACAACAACTTTAAGATATGGGAGTACCTTCAATCAGCCGATATCTGGTAATGATTTATCCAGGTCAGCAGGAATAGCGTCTTTATTCAGATTACCTATACATCATGATTCAAAAGGTAACATCATGTTATACTTACTCGTTCTAGAACATTTGATGCCACTTCTTATTTGATTGAAAATATTGATCTAATTTATAGAAGTGACTGTAAAGTATGACAGCAATTTAATAGTTTATAACACGTGCTTCTGCGTTCGCTAACTTATATATTACATCCCCCAATACCTGTAGGTAGGATTTCTGTCTGCTGCAATCACTATTCATCTGCACGTTTCACTCCAATGGGGTATATGCAATTTTCATTTAAGGGTTGAACATGCTTTTAAGAAGGTCTGTTAGCTGTTATATTCTTTATCAATCACAAAGCATGTTGTATTTTAGGGTTAGCTGTGTGTTTTGTTCAACTCCACCTTTTTTGTATTTCAGGTTTGGATGTGTGTTTTGTGGGGGCATGTTTGGATTCTGGAGCATCAAACAGATCTGGAACCCGTCTTGGACCGAGACATATCCGCGTAGAATCAACAATGATCAGACCTTATAATATGGCTACAGGTATCCGGTCAATCTTATATTTCCTTATTCGTTTAAAGGTTGGGGTGTGGGTGTGTTTATCAGTTGCATCGTCGGTGGTCTGTAATCATTGTTAAAGAGAAGGCTCGGTTGCCTAACCCCCTGGTGTTTCTGATGGGTCACCGCTTTCCATATTGCAGAACAGACCTGAGACAATTATAAATAAATGAATGGTATTATGCTATATCTGAAAAGACCTAGCTTTTTATATGCAAAGTTGGTTCCTAATATATACCAAAAATGTAATGTTTATGTCAGCCCTAACATGCCAGAGGTGTAGTTTTGTGTAGTATGTAGTAATTATTCATCTAGATATTGGCGTACCAAACAAATCTTAAGGGTATCATGTAAGTTTAGAGAACATTACGCATACCCTGTGACATACATTGCAGCAGCCAGCACTGTTTGGATTTCATTTTAAGCTATTCACTTAAGAAACCTAAAATATTTACAAATATTTACGAATACCTGTACAATTTGGTGATGATGGACCAAAACTAGTAACCCTAACTCCATTGACTTCAATGCTAAATCCATAAAATTACTTGGCCTGTAACATGTCTTTTTAGCATACAAATAAAATCTCTATAACCTGAAAGAGCCCACCATGTCACAATAACTCCCTTCTCCCTGTGTCTTCTAAATGGGGAATATGGTCGAAAATGTTAATGTAAACAAAAACTGCAATTCAAAAAGTGTTTTGGTGGTTGATAGCATACATATATTTTATGAATGCGCCCGATTGTCTGATAGTGTTGGATATTTTCAGGGGGTATTTGGGTGTTGATGTATATCTATTTCAGGCGCCCAACCGTTTGATAGTTTAAATGTAGGAGATGTCGGTGATGTTAGTTTGTGTATGTATGACCTACCTAGAGCATGTAATGATATTAAAACTGGTGTATATAGTTTGATTAAAGATGGATGTAAAGCTATAACACTAGGTGGTGATCATACCATATCATATCCTCTACTCCAGGCTGTCAAGGTAGGTCCACGGACAGTGCCTAAGGCCAATTGTTATATGGGTCAGATTGAAATCAATTTGTCGCGCAAAGTGCCAAGGGGTAACTTTGTTTCAAGTGTACATCGGTTATTTCATTATCTATATTGAAAATGTAAGGGCAGCTGTACGAGTAGTATAACCCACTAAACCATGACACCATTTCTATAAATTTGGGGTCCCACTGATGAGATTGGCCTAGGACCCACAAGTACATAAATCCGACCCTGCTTATAATTCAACATATATCGATGCGTGATACATCTAATGGTAAGTGCAGGCGGTCTACACTGCACGAAAACAAATTACATAATAAAATGAAATAAAATGGGGTTTAACGTCCTACAGTGTGCCCGGACAGCGGCACTACGGCCTACTCTTATAACGAACTCCAACTGTCAAGGGATCTTTTACGTGCACGCCAATGTGTACACGGGGCCTCGGTTTTTCGTCCCATCCGAACGTCTACACAGCTGTCCTTGCCAAGCCCCCCGTCCTACAACACTGACAAGTGGGAACCACGCCGGAAAATCTGGATGAACTTTCTCGGCCAATGCAGGGATCGAACACCCGACTCCAGGCTAGCGAGTCAGCGTCTTACCCACCATGACACACTGACCCACACAGATAATTCAAGCATTAAACAACATATTAATCAAGAGGATCCAGAGATAAACCGTAAACAGTACTAGGCCAGCAGCCAAAATTTCTAGCTTGCTTATAAACACAATTCCGCTACAGGGTCCTCGAAACTATACATTTTTGGAAAGCTTGGGAACACAAATCCGAGGGGTCCAAGAAAAATGTTAGCAATAACTCGATTTAGGGTCTGATGAAAATAGTCACAATTGCCGAGTAAATGCTTTACTTATACTAATAATCTGAAGTTGGCATAAAATTAAATATTAGCGAAAACACCCTATGCCTTCATCCTTGACAAAGAATAGTGTATTGGTTAGATTTTAATTTAAACAAAAATACCCAAAACATAAATGCCAATGCTGAACAACGAATTTTGGAAATCCATTAACGGTCAAAAATGAGTTATCTCCCTTTCTGCTATTCATAACAGTATTTCAGATGCGCGTTGACTGCTGATGCTGTATGACGTATTTGTGTTCCTTGGGTTATAAGCTTTCCATGTAGCGGACTATGTAGCGGAACTTCTGGCTGCAGGCCAATACCGGATCTGTAATGATACAGGTTTCATTCAAAATGTATCATAAAGTCTGTCATTGAGTCGACTAGCATGGTTTCCAGTCCCCTGTTGTACGTGACAAGGAGTAGGGTCGCTTGTCTAACCTCGTGGGTTTTCTCCGGGTCCTCCGGTTTCCTCCCACTGCTAAAGACCCCTACGCGCAAGCGACTTATTGAAATACTATTAAACCATGTGTTAGTCCCGAAATGAAAAAAACACGAGCTCACAATAAAACAGAGAGTAGGGAAAAAACAATAACAAAAACGGGTTTTTGATCTTATGAGACAATAGGATAATATTTTGTCGGTGGAGCATACGATTCTGTTGGACTCTCATATCAGGATATTTTACAATGCTTATTTGCGGAATGCTACAGAGGAGAAAATTGTCTGCATAGTGTCATATCCATCGTTCTTTCCAGTCCACAAACCCCAACTATTGCAGTTGGGAGTTCAGTTCATCATGTAATAATTGGTGACTCGCATATCTGATCTTTATAATCTCTATACTATAGGTCAAGTTCAAGGTAACTCGTGACATATCTCCTGTTGGTGCATGATGGATTAGATCGGTGCAATTGTTATTTACATATGCCCTATCAAGACTAGATAATCGTCTCAACATCGCTGAATAATAAACCACAATTTTATTGTATTCCACAGAATAGTGTCTTGTGTATTTCGAGGTCAATTACAAAATGCAATTGAAACAAACAACTACCCGACCCATTGTTTATATTATATTTTCAGTTTTAATCTGTTTGTTTTCAGGACAAATATGGACCCGTGGGTTTAATACATCTTGATGCCCATTCTGACACCAGTGATACTATGTTTGGGTGTAAAATAGCCCATGGTACTCCCTTCAGACGAGCCGTAGAGGATGGATGTCTGGATTGTTCGAAGGTTGTGCAAATTGGACTTAGAGGTCCTGGCTACAGCTTACAGGATAGGGATTGGTCAATTGAACAGGTAAAATACTGGAAACTAACAGGGTTTTTTTCACATCGATAATGTTTAATTGGATCACATACTGCTTGTAGGTCAGTTTCGACTTTATTCTACAAGTGTAAACTTGCAAATATCCACTGGGCGGATTATAACCAACTAATGTATACAATTAAACAACACCTTTATATCAATCTATATCAATCTTGAAGTACAATCAAAACATGTCAACTTACAACGGATGGCCGAATGGTTAGCACGGGCGTGCTGTATCATGAGGTCTGTCATTGAGTCAACTGGCGTGGTTTCGATTCCCCGGTTGTACGTACCAAGGAGTAGGGTCGCCTGTCCAACCTCGTGGGTTTCCGCCCACTGCTAAAGACCCCTACTTGCAAGCGAATTATTGAAATAAAAATTGAACCATGTGTGAGTCCCGAAATGGACGTTAAACCCCATTTCTCTCACCCTCCCTCTCTCATTCATATATGCGCGTTATTTAATTGGATGAAGAATAATAATTAATTAAGATACTGTACACCATAATATTTTAGAACCTACGCACGTCTTTAAATTTAAAACATGGTGATAATAGTAACGTTTACATTTACACCCGTTCAGGTGTTAGTTGTCATACATATCGACAACACGTGTTGTGTGTGGTACTTAATGGTTACACAAAATTTGGCGTCACGTTATAAAAACGGAAACGATGGAATACATTTTACATGGCTTATAGTTTTTAAACTCACCCAGTTTACACAGAGAACGACCTTGAAATTATATAAAACCTATTATGATCAATATAAATCAAATGTTTTAAAATGAAAGTGTTAAATTAATTATATCGAGGTGTAGTCGATATTCCTGGCGATAGAACATTTGAACGGCTGTAATTGTTGACGATAATAAGGGTTTTCGATGCGTTATATACAATAGTGAGCAATTAACTTGTTATACCACAGTGGACAGTTCACGACATATGCCCCAGCAGTCGACAGTTCAGATACATTCGACAGTTCACGATATATGCTCGAACAGTCGACAGTACACGATTTATGTTCCAACAGTCGACAGTACACGAAATATACCCCAACAGTTGGCAGTTCAAGATATATGTATATACTCCACAGTCGACAGTTCACGATATATACTCCAACAGTCGACAGTTCACTGTATATGCTCCAACAGTCGACAGTTCACGATATATGCCCGAACAGTCGACAGTACACGAAATGTGCCCCAACAGTCGGCAGTTAAAGATATATGTATACTCCAACAGTCAAAATTTCGCGACATCAGTCGACAATACACGATATATGCCAAACAGTCCACAGTTTACGATATATACTCAAAAATTTGACAGTTTATGATATATTATACTCTAACAGTCGACAGTTCATGCAGAAATAGACCGACGTCCACAAACTATGCTATAATAGTCCTTTTTCTAATTGATATACACCATTTTACTTAACACTTTGTTCTTGCTTCACTGGCGCTACATCTGTATACCTCACACTTTACATTAATGATTAAAGAAGTTATTTAAGTTCGCATTATTTGTTTCTATTGATTTCAGATCGATATCTTATCAGCCAACCGCTGAAGGGTTTCATTTATATAAAACAATACTCCGGTTAGAATGGTATCTAACCTGATTAAATGTTCTAATCATTTAAAGTATTATCTAAAAAAATCATTTTTCAGTTCCAATGATTAATGGTCTAAACCACCAAAATATACGGATATTTCAACATACGGTAGTTTTGAATTAGATGTTTGGTGCCAGCAGAAATATAAATACAAATATTGCTATTTTAAAGAGACTGATTTCCCAGAAAGTCACCGATCCGTTCGACCACCGTGTAACATCCACCAGGGGATATTCCTTCATCATGAACACACACTAAAAGACAGGTGTTACATTTATACACAACACACCCAGCCCCCGTAGATCCTTCACGACCCACCATTATTTTTCCCTCTGAAACTCGAGTTAAGGTATATTTCAGCCCATTTAGAGATATCCCTTCTTGTCGTAAACAACTGGAATCTGTGAAACCCTTGATCAATTCCGTAACTTCCGTCTGTGACACGTCAAAAGCAAAACATCCGGCCCATCGTTTACCATCTTTAATTCCATGAATAGCCACTTTAGACACGTAGCCTTTCTCTAGTAATGCGTCGATATAATCCTTCCATGATGGACCACCCATTTTTCTCATTTGCAATTGATATGCAATGCTATTTATCACAAAGAACTGTAAATATATTATCTAATTTAGGTATTTAAGCTAAAATGGTTGAAATGACAAATCCAAAATCAGAATCAAGGCAATTGACTAACCTGAGGATACGTATCACTTTTTGGTAACAAGTTAACCGGACATTGTTATGGCTAGAACAACTATATAATTTCTAACAGAATATAAAATTGAATAACGTTACGTCCAAATAACATCGGTGAGGTCACCTAGCTACTAATTTTAGTTTTAGGAATTGGTATTAATCTTAAATTCCGTGTTGTTTCTTTACATGTAATGGTCATCCGTTAGATGAGTCACGTTCATACTACACTTTGAAAATCCATAAAACAGTGTCAATAAGTCTTGCATATTATCAAAAGCCAATGGCGCCGATGGTTTGGTTCATTAAGCATCAATCAAATCTCTTTAATGTTCCTTAGTGTGTAATCATGTCCTATGCTTATAGGCATTCATAGTTCCCGATCGTATTCCTTGTCATATATATTCAGTGATCATTATACAGTAGAGAAATTCAACACTATATCTATATTTCTTTTGTTTAACTTTGATTAAAAAGATTATGAAATATATGCCTGGGACGTAACCACGAATGGAATACTATCTCGATTATCATCAGTATCGTTATACATCGTTTTGTTCACCAATCCCGATTCTGTTGTAATACCGCCACTTTCCTGTATGTTGTTTACTATTCGTTGACGTTGATATACACGCAATTTATGTCCTGATTGAATGTTTAAATTCCTACTTTAATTGTTCCACTCACCGTACAACTAGTAGTAACAGGTAGTATATATAGTAGGTAACAATACTATACTTGACACAACAAGTGGTATTTATACCCATCGTTACGCTTTATAGGGGCAATAAAGGGACAACTCACTACAAGTTACTGAACCGAGATTCCACTATGAAAAGGCATTGAACTACCAGAACGCATAGTATAAAGCAAGCAACATTTCGTTGTCTGTTATATGACCCGCGGTGGACGCGGACTTTAAACACTAATATAAGAATAATTATATGTATTTGTCTGCGATAACATCCTAGGTGGAAGGAAGCGGACGTTAAGCTCGACATTAAGTCAGTTGGTTTTAGGTATATTGTCTGGATATCACTAATATGGAAGCGGCCGTTAAACCACAAGCTATTATTACCATTATAGTTTTGGCTCGTTTTATATCATAATATATCAAAATACGAATTTTTAGATGAAGGCACCAGTTAGAAAAGTTAGCTTTTCTTTGTTCGACTAATCAGTAACATGCGGACATTGTCGAAATTCAGATTTGTGTATCAATTATAGAAATGTTGAAATCGGTATGCAGATCAAAGTCTCTGAATTGGTTTCTTTTTTCCGAGCATTTGGAATTTTCTCAATCGGACTATAAATCAATTATTGCCCCTGTAATAGAAATTTTGTAAAAGGACTCAAGGTCAGAGCTTTTAGGAATTTATTTTAAAAATTTACTGAGGCTATCAGTGTTGCCTGATAGTTAATGTCTGGGATACGTTACTTGGCTATTCGGGCTAAATTTCCCTTATAGCACACTGCATGGCGTATGCCGGTCTTCATTAGCCCAGTCGGAGCACAGAAGTAGAACGTTAATAAACCCCATTTCACCCAGTTTGCAGTTCCTTAGCTATCTTAGCTATGCCGAAATAGTATGAACTACCAATTACCACGGTGTTTATCAGACAGATTATTATAAACGATATTCCTAACTTCACCTATTCCAATATATGCATCCGATCTCTCGTTATATACGGCGTACCGTTATTTTAGTCTATTTAGCCAATAGCATAGGGTAATAACCACTCAGGGTTAACGGTATTCTTACCACCTTTCGTAAGCTTCAAAATATTTTCATACAGTTAACACCACAATACATTTAGTCAACAGAGAACTGTTAGAGTTATTGCTTGTATCCATACCGTCAGAAATGTGCATACACTACTTTTAGTGTTGTCGGTGTAAGGTCCCTTTAATATTTAGCCAATATACTGGACGTTACCAGGATAAGAAAGAGTAGATAGTAGTCAACAACGGTATAATATATTTATATATTTATACTTATATTGTACTTACACTTGTCATAGTATACCTATCTATATATCTCATTTTGTTCATAGATATTACTTATAGTATTATTGTAACTTGATGTTATTGTTATACCGCCATTATCCTGCATCTAAGGTAGATAAGACTATTGTCTGATTTAGCATAGCGTTTTATTATTATCGTTATTTTTTTCACTTGAGAAGCACGTTTGTTATTCAAGACTGTCTTATATTATGGTATCAGGTAGTTTAATTGGTGATTTATATGGCTCTGGTGTGTAACTAATTGCATAACAACCGTAATAACTTTATAATAATATAGGCATACTCATTGTGTGCTTTGGTGGTTTATTTAATTTTTTCATGTTCTTCTTCGCGGACACACGTCGGTAATCCAGGATCAATATTTTTTTGTGAATCATATAATGTCATAATATGACTGAGTTTTATAACTCTAATATATATTTTGGCAGAAATGGCGCATCTGTGCAGAAATATTTTATTGCTCTTTCCATGTTTTCCTTTATATGCTGTCTCTGCGTATATATAATATCTGTCTAACTGTATCGTTTGTTCTCTACGTGTTTTGATTTTGCTGGGGTTTTTTTTGGTTTTTTTTGGGAGGGGGGGGGATAAATTATTTACCGAATTGTTGATTTATATATCTTAAAAAAAACCTAAAAACATAATTTTATATTTTTTATTTATATGTATCTTAATAAGGATACAAGGACATCAATTACACCTCTTTTAATCATACGGGGTAACGAAATTTGAGCAGATGTTGTTAGATGGTCGTTTTGATTTGTAAGATGTGACGCCATTTTTATATACAGGTCACAATTCTATGGAATATAATATAATGACTGCTTATTACTGAGCGACGTTTCGACTAGGCTTCTCTAGTCTAGTCATTATCAAGCCAGTTTTATAGTTCGGGGGGTGGGGGGGGGGTGGATTGCCGAATGGTTAGCATAAAGCCTGTCATTGAGTCAACTGGCGTGGTTTCGAATCCCCGGTTGTACGGGACAAGGAGTAGGGTTGCCTGTCCAACCTCGTGGGTTTTCTCCGGGTCCTCCGGTTTCCTCCCACTGCTAAAGACCCCTACGCGCAAGCGAATTATTGAAATAAAATTAAACCATATGTTAGTCCCGAAATGACATAGTTTGTGTCGAGTGGACGTTAAACCCCATTTCTCTCTCTCTCTCTTAATAGTTCGGTATAGAGCGCGTTTAGTTGATTGGTATTTGAATTGGGGTTTTTCTATTTACATATTATACATTTTTTAATAGCATGGTATTTTTCATCTTGAATCTCATGTCGTCATACGTTGTACTGATATAGTAAAGACGAGGGGTCGGAATTGAAATTTGACAGCACATAAAAACTATGAGAGAGGGAATTCATGTTAAGCTCGTTATAGGAAACCACATTCCTATATTTACAGCCCATAGGAATTATAATGTATTAATATGTTTGTATTTTTCAGGGTTTTCGGATGATTACAGCTGAAGAATGTTGGAATAAATCTCTCGTACCATTGATGGCTAATATCAGACAGATGATGGGCGATGCTCCAGTTTATATTAGTTTTGATATCGATGCTTTAGATCCGTCATACGCTCCAGGAACAGGTTGGTACGTTCACGTGGCTACTTCATTTTAAAAATATCGCGAGGTTTTGCGGTTTGAATCGGTACCTGGTTTGGCTCGTCAGTTTCATATGTGTTTGTTTTTCTGTTTATATAACAACCGAGAATTGATTCATACAGATTGATTCAAATTTATTTCATTGTCTTCATGAAAAACAAAATAGATTTCCCTACAAGTAATTAGTTTATTGTTCTAATTGGGCCTATTAGCTAAGGCCGACAGAGCGTTTACTTTCTTTTGTGAACTAATACTATATATATATTTGTGACTGTCGTTTGTCTGTCTGTCTGTCTGTTCGGGGTTGGCGGCTACACTAGGTCTGCTCCAAGTCTGAAATTTGGGGTATAGGGGTAGCTCGGACCGGGGAGTAACATAGGCCAGGTGGCGTTAGTCTACCACTTCCGGTTTCGGAGTTATGACCCCCGAGCGAGGCTGGTCTTTTCGGGGTTGGCGGCTACACTAGGTCTGACCCGAGTCTGAAATTTGGGGTTTAGGGGTAGCTCGGACCAGGGAGTAACATAGGCCAGGTGGCGTTAGTCTACCACTTTCGGTTTCGGAGTTATGACCCCCGAACGAAGCCGGGTATCCTGCTAGTACTATATATTTATGATGAGCTGTGATGAATTATGCACGTACTGATTCATAGTGTTAAAAGAATTATTTTTCTTGTTCAATCTGACTTAACAATGTCTGCAAGGATAAGAATGTGTAAACATTGCCGTTGTCACATAGTAGCATACTTACACTTTGAAGATTGTTATCTGATGTGTGTGGCATATCAGGCCTGTTGTGGTAAAACGACTATAATGTAAGGGGTGCCATTAGAACAAATGTACAATCGGGGAAATGGCATCTCATACAACAAGCTTTGCAACAGATATTGCCCCGTATGTGGCGAAAAACGTCCAGCCCACGTAAACCTTGGGTAAAAGTTGCAGCCGGGAAAAGAGACAAGAATTAACATTAAAGTCAGTCCGACCGTATTTGGTGGTCTGTATCCCAATTAGTAAATGGAGTTACTTCCCTTATTTCAGTCTTATGATCACGGACTCGTAACCGTAAAAGTTGCAGCCGGGAAAAGAGACAAGAATTAACATTAAAGTCAGTCCGACCGTATTTGGTGGTCTGTATCCCAATTAGTAAATGGAGTTACTTCCCTTATTTCAGTCTTATGATCACGGACTCGTAACCGTCGTGTATTAGCCTATTATATATGAAGATGCATGGTTGAATTTTGATAGGTACACCTGAGATTGGAGGATTAACCATTGTTCAAGCATTAGAGATAATCCGTGGGTGTCGTGGATTAAATATTATAGGAGGCGATATGGTGGAGGTGAGAACAATTTAATTATTTGTTGTAGGATGCCTGGGGAGTAGAAATTAAAGAACTAAAAGAACGACACAGGTGACAGTACTTCCTGTATTCATCCAACAAGCTTTTAGTCCTCCTATTATTCTATTTGAATCTTAACACAGTTAGTCACTGATTTTGACGTCTATCCGAAGATTTTTTTTACGCCTTGTATATACATTGAAATCGGATTCGAATGTCAATTTGCTATTCGCCCGACAGGCAGGCGCAGCATTATAACGCATGCGTCATTTTTGCTGCTTTCAATCCTTGACCAGGAGGTCCCGGGTTCAATATGAAAACTTTCTCACAGTTTTATATTCGTTGGTAGGGATAGTAGCACGTAATTAATTTCATTTGGTGTTGCGCTTTACTGATCATCCGACAGATATTAGTTCAGATACTAATAAACACAATCTAAATAAAATATAGATCTATATTTCGTTTCGTTTTTTATACTTTCGATGGCCTACACTACATGTAGATCTAACAAGTTATAGTGGGAGTTCACGTTCTATGACGTCAGGTACCAAGCAAGCGACATTTGACCCGATTACCTCAGTCATTCGATCAACCAATTAGCGACCCCCATGTATTTTTCTATCTACTTTTGCTTTGTTTTGATTTTTATTGCCGCTAATGTCTACCCACAGTTCCGCGCAAAAAAGGTCAAATGCTCGATTCGACAGACCATTTAATTGGCTGACCCCTCATTTCAAGCAGAACACGAGTTAAATAACACCGCTTCCAGATCCAAGTGTAGTAAAGACAAGTAAAATCGAAATTTTGAACTATAAAAACGAAACAAAATTGGATCTGTGTTTTAATCAGATTGTAATAAACATACATGTATTTTGGACTTTTAAAAAAGAGTAATGACCCAATGACATACCATATGATGCAACGCACAGGCGTTAACCATTCGGCCACCCAACACCCCACATGATGATAACGGTTTAACATATTTATTGTTCTATATTACAGGTATCCCCACCGTTTGATAGTAATGGTTTAACATCTTTAACTGCAGCCAATCTATTGTTTGAGATGTTATGTATATTTCCTGGTGTCCAGTACAATAAATAAACAATAATATCAGCCGATACAAGTTTATGCAAATAGTTGTGTGTTTCTGTCTTATAAAATCTATAAAAGATCTTTATATCGTCTGGGTTTAAAGTTTATATTGGGCTAAACTCTTGGCTGTTTCCTTGTGACTTGGTCGTTCTTTCTAAAGTCTATTTGAGCTATTGTGGTCGGTTAAAAAAAAACATTCTCGTAATAAGACATAACATCTCGTTATTAGCTTCACGGGAACGAGAAGTCATGTTGGCTTAAATCATTTGTACACAATCGTCCCGCAGATGTCTGCTTCGGGGAAATTAGGAAATGAACAGTCAGGTTCGACTCTCGACGACAGAAGACCGAGGCAAGCCTTCGAGATGTTTCAGGCCAGGTTATCAATTAACTGAGAATAGTTATACGGATGATAAGAACATACACACCTACATGTATATAAGTATATAAAAATATATATAATGGCGTACACGCAAAAGAACCCTTTTCATTTTGATACGCTGTTGTACAGTATTTTAAAGTTAAACATAGAATGCATACCCCATAAGCTAGACCCCTCCCCTTTTTGAAGAGCTTAAAGAGGAATTATGTAAGACTTAGATAAATAGCTAGTAATTCTCGCTAAAATAGTTTAAAAATAGATAATTAAAAAGACATATGTTGAAAATTTCAGTCAAATTACTTTATTCTAAGCGAATCAATGTCGATAAGAATATCATAATCTCTATTTTCATTGTCATTGCTACGATAATAAAAAAAAGTCTCGGTTATCCATTTTTAAATTAAATTATTAAATGGCGATCTTGTTTGAATCCATTAAAAATCACGACCATACGGTAGTCTAGGGAGTTGATTAATGATTATATCTGAATAAATGTCTAATTAATAATTTATATAACTTTTGAGGCGAAAAGAAAGACCTGCAATAGACAGATTTGGCTCTTACATAATTTATTTTTAATATCTAGTTTCTGGTTTGCATCAGTATTAAGTAACAGATCCAAGTATTAAGCTGTGCTGTAGTTTCTTATAATCTCCATCTCATCAGAGTAGATTGAAACGAAATAATCAATGAATTCGGATTTATTCGGTTAAAGAAAGTAATCTACATAGTATATATCTGCGATTCATATTAAATGTTTTGGTAAGATTTTGTTTTTGTTAACGAAACCTTGTATAAAATCAGACTCCAAGAATATAGAACTATATTAGATTATAAACTTAGACTTCACAAGGAAAAGTCGGACACTGGCCGACTTTAGAGGGCCGTATTTTGCGCGTGAGTTTGTTAACTCGCTGAAAACCACTAAAAATATTGATATCAATTCGAAATTGGTAGTTAAAACGAATATAATCTCAGAGAAGGTTCGCTAGAGTTGTCTCAAATTTTGTATTCAACACAATTGATCATGTACAGTCAAATCATGTCATATTGTATTTTACCAATCTGTCCAGATCTTTGAATCGCTAATGGCTCAAAGAAAAGAAATACAATTTCCGGCTGATTTTATACTTTTGCGAACCGAGGTACAAATTTCAAACCATAACTTAATTTGTTGTATTTTAATCAACAAAAACGCTAATTGAATCAAGTATCCTTTAGTAGTTATTTATCTTAATAGTAAGTGTAGGAGAACCGCACAACAACTAAAGACACATACAAACAACCCAGAAGACAAACGCGCGGACACGACACATCATACACGGACATTGCTAGTAATAAACAATGAAGGTACTATCAAATTAAATATAATAATTGGTCGTATTTAATCAATTTAATTGTACTTTTATGTTATGTAATTCTAATTTATCTACACCTCATGTTTTCACAATTATACAATTACCGTTATTAACCAACCAGACCGTCTGTATAACTACATGATTTACCCATCTGTCAAGAAGTATAAAATATAATTAATATTTAATACCAATATGGGGTGACTCTTGACCTTACCCACAAACGGATATAATAAGCATTGTTAATTCAACCCTGACCTTGCCAAAACTCTTTAGTGTATAAAACCATAATTAATATCAATAAGGCAAATATCAACACTAATTCATCAGTCCTGGGGCAGTCATATATCTTTTTGCCGATCGATACCAAGTGGTCCGAATAACAGAACGCAATTAAAATTCGCACAATGGAAGGACTAACTGTATGAATGCACATCGAAGATAATGGCCGGACGATTAATTAATCACTAAAATCAAACATTAATTCACAAGGTTCGAGGCCTGATTTGTTTTTTTGGCCGATCGATCCAATACCGAGTGGACAGAATAACAAAACGTGAGTAAAAATACTTAACGGGTCACGAGATGAATCGAATACTTGTGGAATGATAGTACGGTACTATAACTGTACGACATTCTATCGTATAGCCGCAGCCTTTATTTATTGATCGATATTCGGTTTATGGATGACAGCGGCACTAGTCGCAAGGCTCTTGGAGAATCGACGAGAGATTCGTCTTGGAGTTTTCACAGGCTTCAGAATTATTGGTCTCAACTGGAAGCCATAACGCTTGTATCGTCTGCTCGATGTCCCAGATAAACAGGAATGGGCTTAAAAGAAGCATCGATTGTGGAAGTAATGAATAGTGTATGGCCATATGTAGAAACCGGTGTGATGTAAATGAGGAATTACCGCAATGTTTAATATGTATAGAAATGATCGATCTTACAGCTTTATACTTCTAATAGGAACAACCGGAATAAAGGAATATTCAAAATGGCGGCGAGTGTGGTAATTTTCTCTTGCTTGCTTGCTTGACTTAAGGCAAAGCAGTTTGAATTGATCCTCAGTGTTTGACGTAATGGAATGATACGTTTGGTTATACGAGTCTATGCATCATTCACCATTAACCAGTGCCTGGATTGTTGTTGGAGATTCAGATTTGTTCATCGTGGTTTATTTGTGCCTTTTTTTCACCTCTCTGGTACTTCTAAGAGTTTTTGAATTGTCTTTAGGTAAGGCTATGGGAAACGAGAATAGCACCTTATCATCAGAATGCAGTACACCCCCGTCTGATTTTTTGGAATACGAAAGTTTATATTCAGTGACTACTGACAACCGAGGAGGGTCTTCTAGACCTTCCACCCGTGCCCCATCACCCATGGAACCTCCCGAGCCCGACCTCAGCCACCTGACCCCTGAGGAGATTGCTCAGATTAAGGCTGTTATGGACAGAGCTAAAGATATGCAAGTAGACGAACAGAAGAGAGTGAGGTAAGTGGTTTTACTTTAAATATTTGAATTCACTATTCAACTCCAGCTACATTTTAAACACATGAGCAAATAAACCCCTTAAACATACAAGCACTGCTTAAGACTCTAAGGGTTATTCCAGTTTCTTAGTTACACTGTTAATTATTAGAAATAACTATACATATTTTTGAAATACAGACAACTCAACTACATTATAAATTATACATTACATTTCACATAGAGTTTTATAAGAAGTGGCAATACACTCGAAAATGATGCAATTTGTATGGTAGTAATATTACCTATATCTAGCGTACAAGCTATCCACGATTAACATTAATAATTCAAATGATAGCTGACCTATGATGTATATAGAAGGGTATAATCCACACTCTTATGTCTGATCAACATTTAAAACACCAAATGTTATTTTCAAAATTATACCCGACCCTTATAAGTGTCGGAGGAGATACCAACCTCTCATTTTAACCTTTTATAAATTAATAACATTATTGCTTCTTTAAGCTAAGGGGGGGAGTGGCCGAATGATTAGCACGTGTGCGCTGTATCATAAGGTCTGTCATTGAGTCAAATAGCGTGGTTTCGATTCCCGGGTTGTACGTGACAAGGAGTAGGGTCGCCTGTCCAACCTCGTGGGTTTTCTTTGGATCCTCCGCTTTCCTCCCACTGCTAAAGTACCCCCGCGAGCATGCGAATTATTGAAATAAAATTAAACCATGTGTTAGTCCCAAATTGACCTAGTTTGTGTCGAGTAGACGTTAAACCCCATCTCTCTCTCTCCCCCTCTCTCTCTCTCGCTCTCTCTCCTATCCTTGCATTGCTGGACAAGACATACCGAGAGAGAGAAGGGTTTCTTGTTTGTTAATTTAATAGGTGATCGAGTGCGGCTATACCAACATTTTGATCAAAGAATACTTGAAAGTCGTATACATTTACACCACGTCTGTGAAGAAAATACCGTGGTAAATGTCACGACAATCTTAACAAATAAGGGACAACATTAAAGAAGTATTTTCACTTTACGAATAAAATAATGTACTTAATTCGGAATAAAAGCATATTCAAATATATCTAAATATCTAAATTAATTAAGGACAGTATCAACACGAGTGTGAACACCGCTGAATGATTTGAACGATTCGAAAATCGACAGTTAAAACATTTATATCTCAGCTATGGTTAGACAGATCTGTCTCAAAATTATGCACACGCTCCAATTTACTCATTCAAAATGTAACTGTGTATTGAAGTCACGCCAAATCGGTTATATCTCGGCAATGGCTAAAAGATCTATCTCAGATTATGCACACGGCCAAAATTACACATTCAGATTGTGAGTGTATTCAAATCACGTAAAATCGAAAAGGTAGAATCGTAAAAGTTAAACAAGGTCTTTAAATGGACAGATTGTCCAGTCACTGCCATGACGAAACGCGTTTCAGGATAGGACCACCGTCAAGATCGGTCGCACTATTGCATCTTTCTTGTAAATCATTTTTTTGTTGTTCATTTTGAGTCAAGCCTGCATGATTACACGTCCGGAACTGCACAGCACAGGGAGTGCTTATAGTTGACCCACAGATCCATTCACTTAATTTGATATTTTATTGTTTTATTGTTTGCAATGTATGTGTAGCTTGTGTCTTGTCCGCAAGTTAGTCCTTTCGGTTTTGTTTATATTAGAACCAAAATTCCCAAGTTGTTTACCGTTATAATTCGCCCATGTTCCAGTCTATCTTTTTAACTTCCTCGCTGTATACCTTCCATGTCACAGCCCATTTATTGAACGCCCCGTCCTGCCTTATGTCGTTCATGTCCCAGTCCAGCTATTGATTGTAATAGTATAACTA